GGTCTTTTCTTTGCATCATGATCTAACACTCCATCCCTCTATATTTTTTATTTTGAGACAGCGTCTTCCAAAGTTGCCCAGGCTGGCCTCCAACTTGCAACCCTTCCGCCAGCTTCTCAAGTTGCTGGGGTTACAGGCATGTGCCAGAGTCTGACCAAAAAAGACTTTTTAAAGCTCTAGAGTCAGAAGTTGGCTTTTTTAACAACTGATATTAATTTATTTTTATTTAGTGGTCCCTCTTGTATTTTCTCTATTGGATCTTGATTCTCAGTCAATTGAAGCTCTCTTCTTGAATTTCTGCTAACAAAATACTGTTTCCTCTACTCCATTTCTTGTTGGCGTGAGTTTTGACTACTTCAAAATTGAACAAATAAAAAATCTTAAAGATCATTTCTACTAAAATTAGTGAAAGGTTTTAACCATGCAAACAGGTATATATATATTTGTACCAGGGATTAAAGCCAGGGGGGCTTTACCACTGAACCACATTTCCAGCTGTTTTTTGTTTTGTTTTGTTTTGAGACAGGGTCTTGCTAAATTGCTTAGGGCCTTGTTAAGTTGCTAAAGCTGGCTTTGAAATTGAGATCTGCCTGCCTCCTCCTGCCTCAGGTCCCTGAACTTGTAGGCATGTGCCACCATTGGCAACAGGTAGTCTTAACTTGCAAAAATGCAATTTAAATCTATTGGGGTTCAGAAAAACAACTCCCCAAAGACTGGTGTTTTGGCAGGGAGTGGTGGTGAATGCCCATGATCCCAAAGGCTGGGGAGCCTGAGGCAGGAAGATCAGATCGCAAGTTCAAAGCCAGCCCCACCAACTTAGTAAAAAAAAAAAAAAAGGTTTAGGGATGTGGCTCAGTGATAAAGCACCTCTGGGTTCAATCCTCAGTACCATTAAAAAAAAAAAAAAAAGGCTGCGGGTATAGCTCAGCGGTAAAACACTTGCCTAGCACTGGGTTCCATCCTTAGCACCACATAAAAATAAATAAAAGTATTGTGTCCATCTATAAGTTTAAAAAAAGACTGGTGTTTTGACAGAATTCAGGTCCCTTTGACTTTCCTTCCTGTTTCACTCCTCCAGACAAAGAGAGGCCTCTACCACGCGGCCTGCGCAGTGGTTTCATTAATGAGGTTCTAGGCATAAAGTTAGTTAGACGAGATCGAAATAAAAACACACAGACTCAGTTACCTTAATTCTATTGCTAGGTCCGAGACGGCTCCCCTCTCTGGTTCGCTCCTCTAGCCGCCCAGCAGGGCAGCAAGGATTACTCAGGGCTAGCAGGAGAGAGAGAGCGAGCACGCCGGGGAGTAGCCTTTTATTAGGGAACCAGAGATTCAGGGGAGAATTCCATCCAATGAAGGTTGAGGGGGGGCTGCACTCCAAGGTCAGGGTCAGCGATTGGGTCCCCGGGGTCAGTGGTCAGGCACACCCCCACACGGATGGGCTCTCTCATCAGGAGAGGGACGGGAAAACTTCGACATGTGCCAAAGTGCCTCAGACCCTCAACGGGAGGCACCCGATCACGTGTGAGAATGGCTCCCAACAGAGGCCTTTTTTTTTTTTTTTTTTTTTTTTGGCACTGGGGATTGAACCCAGGGGCACTTTGGATCACTGAGCTATATCCCCAGCACATTCTATTTTTTGAGGCAGGGTCTTGCAAAATTACTACGGCTGACCTTGAACTTGTGCTCCTCCCATCTCCATCTCCTGGGTGGCTGGGATTACAAGCACATGGCTAGGGAAAGGTCTTCTACAAAGTGCCCTTACCTGCCAGATCAGACAGGAGACCTCAAATCCAGGGAGGATCATCACAAGGAAAGTGATGATGCTATAGTTTGGCTCTTCAATGTCCCCCAAAAGCCCTACATGTTAAAGGCTTGGTTCCCAGGGTGGCATTACTGGGAGGTGGTGGGACTAGTGGGGAATTCTTTCAATCCTTGGGGATGTAACTTTGAAGGGAATAGTAGACCTCTTCTTTCCTTTTGCTTTCTGGTCATGAGACCCAAAGCAACAGGGCCAATAGTTTGGTGAGCTTTTAAATTTTAACCATAATTATGGTTTATGTTTATTTAAAGCTCACCAAACTTCTTTGAAACTATTACCTTAGAATTTTAAGTGTGATAGTCAGCATTCTATCACTGTAAGAAATAACTTGAGATAATCAATCTATAAGAAAAAAAGATTTAGGGGCTGGGGATGTGGCTCAAGCAGTAGCACGCTCTCCTGGCATGTGTGTGGGCCGGGTTCCATCCTCAGCACCACATACAAAGAAGTTGTGTCCGCCAAAAACTAAAAAATAAATATTAAAAAATTTTCTCTCTCTTTAAAAAAAAAACCAATAAAACAAAGATTTATTTTGGCTCAGTTTTAGAGGTTCCCATTCATGATCAGTTGGCTTTGTTGCTTTTGGGCTTGTGGTGAGGAGTGTGTAGTGGAACAAAATCATTCACTCTATAATTAGTAAACAAAAGACAGAAAAGGGTCTCACTATCCCCTTTAAAGGCTTAATCCTGAACACTTCCTACTAGGCCACACATTCTAGAGGTTCCACCTCTAGAAGGTTTGAATAATGCCAACTTGTAGAGCTAAGTCTTTAACCTGTAAGTCTTTGGGTGCTGAAAGCCATAGCCAAGTAGGAATGACGCATGGCAATTTCCTTGTCAGCCTACCCAATGTTGCTTAGAGGGAGGACTCTCCATTGTGGAAATGGGCTTGCCTTGAACCCAGGTCATTTGCAGTGACATTGCATGAATGTTTGAGAGTTTTGGTTTCAAAGGTGACCTTGCTCAGGGATTGGGGCGGCTCCGGGTTTAGGGTGGATCCTGCTGGATTAAGGGTGGCTCCAGGTTTAGGGTGGATCCTGCTGGGAATAGGGCATATCCTGCTGCCTCAGGCGCCTGCTCCTGGAGTTGCCGTGGAGTTCTCTCGGGGTTCTGAGACTATTTGGAATGCAGAGCCCGATGGAGGTAGTGTATTTTCCCCAGAACGTGCGTGTAGAGTGCCGGTGAGAGTTCAGGAATAAAGAGTTGCTGTTGGAATCTACAAGTTTTTGTGGTGGCTCGGTTATTTGGTGCCCAGCCAGACTGCGGCATTTGGGGACATTTAAGATCCCAAATATAAGAGATTTAGGGTGTGGCTCAGTGGTAGAATGCTTACACAGCATGTAGGGGCCCTGATTTTGATCCCTGGTACCAAAAATAAATAAATAAATCCAAACAATAGGACTAAATTAATTTAAATGCTGGATATTCACTGAATATCTTGATCACTTCCAAGTAAAATAAAATGCTGAAACATTAATTGCTGAACACAGGTTAAGTTTACTTACCTGTAAGTAAACTTATTACAAAGGATTAAAGATATTTAGGGTATGTTAATAAAAAAATTGTACTTTGAGGAAACATGTATTTGTTATTATTATATAATTACTATTATAATTTTGCTATTATTATTTTGCAGTGCTGGGAACTGAACCAAAGGGCCCTCTACAAAGCAATATTCCCAGCTCTTTTTGAATTTTTAAAAATTTTGAGATAGGGTCTCCCTAATTTGTTCAGGCAGGCCTCAAATTTATGAACTTCCTGCCTCAGCCTCTGGAAAAGCTGTGATTACAGGCATGTGTCACAACAGCTCATGAGGAAACAAATCTTCAAGAAATTATAAATTGGTGCTAATCACTTAAGTATAAACTATTACTAATATAGGTAATTTAAACTACTAAACAGAAAAAAATGTTTGAAAAACATACAAAGGAAAATATGACGTTACACTAGGAATGTTATAAAGAAGGCATGAGGATGTGTTGGAAAATAGTTTTGCCTAATTTAGAGTTTACTTAAAGTTGTTTTCAAGATAAATGATACATGAAGGCTGGGGTTGGGGCTCAGAGGTAGAGCGATCGCCTTGCACGTGCAAGACCCTGGGTTCAATCCTCAGCACTACATAAAAATAAATAAGTGAAATAAAGGTATTGTGTCTAACCATAATTAAAAAATAAATATTTAAAAAAAATAAATGCTACAGGAAGCGATATGAATAAAACTGAAGATATAAAAAAGTTGAAAAGAACAAAAAAGTTATGTGGTTAAACTGATTAAAATTGAATCAATTTATTATACAGGTTTTTAAAGTGAGCATTAAAATCAAAAGTACACTGATGTAAAATTATAATTTTTTACATCAACATTTTTGTGTTGATATTTTTGTTCACTTTTTGAATGAATTGTAAAAAAAGAGGTTTGATTATTTTTAATTGGGATGATTCCTTGTTTATGCTTTATTGGGCCTTTTATTACTTGAAAAAACTTTTTGATTTTTTTCCTATTACTATGTAACTTCCCACATTTGCTTTTAAAGTCTTTTAATTATCACTTCAGTTAAATGAATGACTCTTTTTCACAGTGACCTATAATCCTAATTTGTATAACTGACAAAATTCCTAAAAATCAAAATTAAGCTTCTGACCTCAAACTAACTTTTGGATATTCCAGAAGGACCCTAGAAGTACAAAAAGAGACAGTAAGCTAATTTTCTTATATCTGGCTGTAAATCTCCAAACTAAAATGCTTCAAATTTTTCTCACTTGGAAAAAATGCTCAGAAATTTTCATAAGATCAGGGCCTTAGAGTTGAGCAGATTTTGTTACTGCCATTGGCTCTCCTAGACATTTTGTTCTAGTCTTGCATATAGTTCTTTTCTTGTTATTGTTGTTTGTTTTGCAGAGCTGGAACTTAAATGCTGGGCCTTGTGCATGCTAGGCAAGTGCTCAACCACTGAACTACATTCCCCAGTTCTCCTACAGTTTATAAACTCTTATTGTAGGTGGGGAATGTATACAGGCAACCTGTTTTTTGTTGCAAATAATTGCTTCAAATTCTAATTCCCCCTTATAATAATGCCCTCCGTTTCACAAAACCAATTTCTCTTATCCAACATATCTTTCTAGTAGAAAAAAATACAAAACTCAATTTGTCATTAAAACATGATACACCTTGTTACTGGCCAAAAACTGACTGAAAATTGCATCTTGTTAATGTCAATAACTGCCAAAGTTGTCTCACATCCGAGTAAATCGCATTCCAGGGTAGCTCTGCAGAAATAAAGGCAAAATTTGAGAGGTGGCAGAACCTTCTGGCTGGTTGGGGGTAGGGAGTTAGAAGCAGGTGATGAAAATGATACCTCGGGCCATGTTCGCTTACTTTTCTTTTCAGCCCTCAGTGCTAAGTCCATTAAGAAAAGAACTGGTCATGAAGGAAAATTCTGTAAAATAACAAAAACGGAAGAAAAATGGAAATGGTTCAAGTACTCGTATTAAAAAGTCGACCAAGAAATAAAGTGGGCTCACAGATTTGTTTCAGAAACATTCCCTCCACCGTCACTAGTCAGCTTCTAAAACCTCAGGATTCACAGGTCCAAAGGGGTCTTCCGGCTCCAGACCCCGAGCGCTGGGTAGGGAGATGGGCTCTCTCCACTGCCCACCCGCCTCTTTAAGTTCTTGCTGTCCTCCTTTCCCTACTCTCAAGGTCGGCAAGCGATATGGATTTAAAAGGCTCCTTCGCGCTCCTCAGTGGGATCCGCCCCACAGGGGAACCCTAGTGAATTGCGCCGCGGAGCACGCCGGGAGTTGGAGTCGCAGCCCTGCCAGCACTGAGCACGCCGGGAGTTGAAGTCGCAGCCCCGCACGGCCTGGAGGAGCAGCCGCGAGGGGCGGAACTAGGGGCTAGTTCGCGCAGGCGCACAGCTCCTTCCTAGCAGCATGGCGGACACTGCACCTCAGCCCAAAAGAAAGCGCGAATCGGACGCAGAGGCGGAAACCCCCAGCACAGGAGAAAAGGAAACAGGAGTTGGAAATGGTACTTCTGCTCCTGTTCGCTTACCGTTCTCCGGCTTTAGAGTGCAAAAAGTGCTGAGGGAATCTGCGCGGGACAAAATCATTTTCCTACACGGGAAGGTACCATTAGACAACCCTGAAATGGGGGCCCAGGAAGGAGGGGACCAGTCATAGCCTTGGAGGCTCATTTGTTCGCATCCCGGCCGGGAAATACCAATCACATTATTCGGGGTGTCGGAGTGCGCTACTATAATGCATAGGGTGTCAAGATTGTTCGTGGTATTAAAGGAATGAATACATCTAGGTCGAATTTTCCTTAGAAATGTCAACTAATTTTTTTAAAGTATATCAGATTAAAAACCCCGTGTTAAATTCCCCACGCCATTCACCATCATTCATTCAATATATAACTCTGGCTAGGAACCCAGTAAATGTTGCTGGATCGTGTCCCTGGAAATGCGTCGAGACAATAGGGGATAGGATCCCTGCTTTACAGGACGTTAGTCTAACAGGAGACAGCGTGTTAAATTGCTAGTCCACTTCCACACACCATGCACTTTTGTGCATATCAGGGACTGGCTGGGGCGCTGAGAGGTACCATCCCTGATCCACAGGACTGCAGAGTATCCGTGCGGAGACATACCCTGCTGGCTCTAATACTGTGCTCAATGGCTAGCAGGGGTTCAGGTAAGATGGAGACCATCTTAAACTAGTGAGAAGTTCTAGCCAAGGTCAGGTTCCCCAGAATCACTAGCAGGAATTCACATCTTTGGGAGGAACAAGGAGTTTAATCTTCAATGCCTCTTTGTGTCTCTTGTTTTTTACAAGGCCCTATCTGGTTTTCTCAGCCTCACTTGTCTTCAGTGTGTATCACCTGCTGAAGGTAAGAGAGCCTTTGAGTTAGGGGTTAGTTGAGAGACTTAGATTCTAATTTCTGTTTAAACACTAAGTGTTCATGTGACTTTGGACTAGTCACTTAATTTCTCTAGACCTCAGTGTTTTCTTCTAAAATGGGGATGGTTTTGATACCGTTTTTGAAAATCTGAGTCCCAAGGCAAGAGCAATAAGTTTTACTTAAAGGATAGAACAGAGAGAGAGACTCCTGGAGGGAGTCCAAGTTGGAAGTTGGTGCCTGAGGAAGTAGGGGTGTCCTGCCCCTTGTATAGATTTTGGATTTCCTTTGTTTTCATGCCCCCTTCACCTCTTATCTTGCCTAGGAGACCAAAAGGTGGAGTGATCCTAGGGCCAGGACTAAGCACCCCAGGAGTACAGGCTGGCAGGGAGCAGCCCAGAGGGCATTCATTAACAACTTATTGGGAGGAACAATTCCCTGGAGGCAGGTAACCTTGACAATAGGTTGGAGGCAGGAGAAGTGTCCTGATGGTATTAGTGTTTTATTTCCTTTCCTTTTAAACTTCCTATCCAAGGTCTTTTATTATCTACACAGACTGCCTTTTAATTCCCCTCCACCTCATTTTGAGAAAGGTCTTATGAACCTAAAAGAGATAACTGTAAAGCTTTTTAATCTTTTGGAAGAAAGGTATGAAAATTGCCACACAGATTTGCGTTAAGACACCTTCTCCGGAGAAAAAATGAAAAACATCAGTACCACTGACTAGACTTCCTAAGGAAGAAGACTACAGGGCAGGAAATCCTAAATGCTGTGATTTCAGAGGCCTTGGAAATGTCTGCCTTTGCTCTGCAGGCTTCTGTGGCTCTGTGCCTTGGCCCACTGATAGTATCTCTGCCCACAGGTGAATGAGGACTCTGGGGATGGGAATGGAGAGGATGCTGTTGTGATCCTGGAGAAGACACCGTTTCAGGTAGAACAGGTCGCCCAGCTCCTGAAAGGCACCCCTGAGCTCCAGTTGCAATTTTCCAATGATATCTACAGCACCTATCACCTGTTCCCTCCAAGGCAACTGAGTGGTAAGCAAATAATGACTGAGGTGGCTGTGTGTGGACACGATGGAATGGTGAGAAACTAGGAGCTATGGTGACCAGACTTTCTATGCCTGATTTCCATATTCTACTGTGATAGTTCTTAATGAAGGAGGGAGAAATTTTTCCTCCGGGAAACATTTGGGCAATCTCTGAAGCCAGTTTTTGTTGTTAGAACTGGGAGTATGTGTGTGTACTATTGGTATCTAGTGAAGAGAAGCCAGGAATGCTATGAAACATTCTACAAGGTATAAGATAGGTCCCCACCAACAAAGAACTGTCAGTACTGTCAGGGTTGAGAAAGCCTTTCTGTTGTGGTATGTTTGGGGGGAAACGTGTGATTTGTAGACTGGAATAATAGATTAATTTTATCATTGAATGATAATAATTACCAGCACTTATTAAACATAACTGTCTTAATAACCAGCATGTGAAGTATTTTGCATGTATTAGCACGATTGATCTTCAAAACAATCCTGTTGTGAAAGGACTTCACAATGAAGAAACTGAGGTTCTGAAAGATTAAGAAACTTGTCCAAAAATCACACAGCCAGTAGGTGGCAGGAGAACTGTCTTTCAGTAGATTGGTGTAAGAGTGTGCTGGGTGCTGCAAAGATAGTCACTTCTCTGAAGGAATCCATTGTTGTAGGGGAGACAAACAATTTTATCAAGTAGGATGGGCTTGAGAAGGACAGGAACTCATAGGTGACCAGTAGAGATTTGTTTTTGATTGCAAACATTTTTTAATTTATCAAGAAGAGAAAGAATGTTTTATGCCCAAAACCAAGCATGGCACATGCTTTTTTCCCCCCTCTGGATGGTTAGATTTGTTGTTGTTGTTTTGTTTCATTTTTTTTGAACCAGGGGTGCTTAACTACTGAGCCACATCCCAGCCCTTTTTATTTTTTGTTTTAAGACAGGGTCTCACTAAATTGTTAAGGCCTTCCTAAATTGCTGAGACTGGCCTTGAACTTGCAGTCCTCCTACCACAGCCTCCCAAGTCGCTGGGATTACAGGCCTGTGCCACTGACTAGTTAGATGGTTAGGTTTTATATGCAGCTTTGCTGTAAACAGGAGGAAGACTGGTTGACCTTAATGGTTCTCAGCCAGGAAATTTTGGGATCTGTTTTTTCATATGATTACTTTGTCATATCCTTCTGTTCTTATTTGTCCTTTAGCATTTTAGAGCCATTTGCCTTTACAGATATCTTCCTGTTTTTTTGATGCAGTCTTTTCTGTACCCTGATGAAAGGGTGCTACTGTAGTCCTTTGGAAATATATGTGAAAACTTGATGTGAGAAAAGCAAATCTTTTACAACAGAGAGCAAAAGAGCCTAGTATTCATTGAAAGAGAGCCAGATTCAATGGTTCAAGTTGATGGAAATAGACAGCTATATTTACTTTCTCAGGCATTGACATTTAAATGAATGTATTCCTTAACTGAAGCATGACAGAAGGCACTGTAGCCAAATATGGCTTGGAGAGGCCCCCAGACTACAGGCTCTGGGGTGTTATTTTGCTGTCAGTCCCTTTCTTTTGCCTCCATCAATCCTTCTACTTCCTCTCCTCATCCTCAGCCAAAATTCAGAAGGTTCTGCAGCTCAAATCAATCCTGTAGAATCTACAAAGTTTCCTTTTTATTTTTTCAGTACTTCTGTGGCACTGCACACAGATGGTAGTGGTCACTTCTCTTTCTATTTCTGTCTTTGTTCCAAGGTGAACACTGAAAAAGGCAGTCAGTTATTGACTTTCCAAGGTCCACTTCCTTGTTCTGAGCTCTGCGTGTCTATATGGCCCTTTTTGCAGGACCACCCCTGCACACCTGGGAGCCTCAGATGGAAGCTTCTCTTTCTCTGCCTTCTTATCAATATGTGCTGTGCTTTATACTCTTGCCTTTTTTACTCAAAGTAGGGCTAGGGGTTTGGAAGACATAGGGCCTGGACCTGATTCTTGTCTGCCCCTTGTTTATCTATATATCATCTCCCAGGGTGACTTTCTAGATTGAATTGGTAAACATTTTTTGTGAAGAACCAAAGAATAAATATTTTATTCATGATGAGGCATAGATGGTTTCAGACTCCTCCTCTTTGTCTTCTCTTCTTCCTCTTTTTTCACCCTCTACAAATGAAAATATCACTCCTTTTTTAGTTTGCTGAGTTGTGTACAAATGGGCAGTGAGTCAGATGTGACCTTCTAGCTATAGTTTCTATTCCAGATTTTTTTTTTGGGGGGGGGTACTGGGGATTGAACTCAGGGGCACTCTGCTACTGAGCCCAATTTTGTATTTTATTTAGAGACAGGATGTCACTAAGTTGCTTAGCCCCTTGTTTTTGCTGAGGCTTGTTTTGAACTCGCTATCCTCCTACCTCAGTCTCCCCAGCCACTGTGATTATAGGCACGTGCCACCGCACCCAGCCTATTGCAGATTTTTGTCCCTTAGAATGTGGTCTGTGGGATCATTAGTGTCGGCTCTCCCTGGAGCTTGACAGAAACAATCCCCAGCTCCATTCCAGATTGAAAGAGTCTGCATTTTAGCAAAATTCCCCTGTGAGTCATATATACATTAAATTTTGAGAGGCACTAGTCTCTAGAAAACACCATGTGTGTGCTGGTGATGCCCATCTTTATTTCTCCATCTCTGGCTTCTCCAAGAACTCCAGCTCATTTTGAAGTAAATGCCTCCTTGATATTTTCATTTGGTGGTCTCATAGGTACTTCATGGGTGAAATGCGAGAACCCAAAGTGTAATGTATTTGGAAACACTTAGCCCCTATTAAATGGTAGTTGCTATTATTATTCTGATGTGCTGGATCCTATGCTTGTTATGGTAGCTTCAGATGAATTAGCAGCCATCCCTGCTCTTAGACATGTTGGGATGATAGTAGAAGGGACAGAAATTATCAAAAGATGGAGATTTAAAAGAGGGTTCAATCAAAGCTGGGATGTAGAGAACAGAGGTCCTTGAAGGTTAGAGCCATGTTAGGGCCATTTGCAAGCCCCAACAGCCCCATATTAAGTGCTTTATGAGGACCACTGAAGAATGAACCCTCAAACTGACCTATCTGTAGATTGTTTTTCCTGTGGGCCAGGAGCTCCTCAGCCACAAGGTGGCAGTATTGCCAAAGTGTTCCTATAGCCAGCTGCTCTGGCTTCCAGGTCAGGTCCTGGCTGGAGCCTTTTGGGGCTCCTTTCTCTCTCTCTATTCTCTGTCTCAGAATTACAATTCAGTGCTGCCTACCAGAAGTAACTTAAAGTGTGATTACTGCAACCTGAGCTCTCTGTTCCCCCTGCAAGGTTGCCCTTTTGAGTTTTTCTGCTATCTCTGACAGTATCTCTAGTCCTCCTTCCCAGAATATTACTTACCTTAGGGAACCCCTCACCCCTTATTTCTAAACTGCCTTTTGGACTCAATACAAATCCTGTACTTAGCTGATTTCTGGTATTTCTCTAGTCATTGGTGAATTGCTTCAAGTTTGAAGGTTTTGCAGTCTCATTTATTTATTCCCTTCATATTCTTAGTTCACCACAGGAGACTGACCCTGTGAGCCACTCATGGTCTCGCACCATGACATGCTAGAGAAAGCATGGGCTTTGGTTGCGAGACATGCCTGGGTTCTGTACTGGTGCTGACACTTTCTAGTGGTATATGCTAGGCAAGTGATGGGCAGTTATCAAGTGTCAATACTATGCAGGGGTAAAGAGCAAGCTATCCAGTCAGACAGAGTCTGGAGTCCTGACTCTGCCATTTACCATAAGAGAACTTGGGATGTTTCTTATTCACTTTACAAGTGTGAAGTGCCTGCTCCATGCCAGCTGCTTTCATGGCTCCTGGGTATGTATTGGTGAGCATAGCAGATGTTAGCCCTGTCTTTGAAGTTCTGGAGGGGAAGGCAGATAGCAAAGAAGGAAATAAGTGTCCTGGTCACCATAAGCAGTCAAGGGACTGCTCAGACTGGGGGTCCAGGAAGACTCTTTGCAGCAGAGATGAAGATTTAGTCTGAAACCTGGCAGATGAGAAGGAACCAGCTTTATGAGAGCTGGTGAGAGGTGTGAGAAAAATGTTCTGAACTGAGAGAATAGCACATGGTCCAGGAAGGAAAGAGGAACAGAAAGGAGGCTGTTAGGCTGGGGAGCAGAAACTGGGCGATGGGGCACAGATGAAACTGGGGAAGTAGCTTTAGCTATTTAATTTAGTTATGTTGGGTTAGTAACTGCCTTTACCTCAGTGGAACAGTTATGAAATAGATAAGAAAATGTTTAGCCTCTACCCTCAATAAGGGGCTCATTTTACATTGTGATCCAATACACATCCAATACATTTATATTCAATATAAATGAATATAAGTGAAACATAAGTTTCACAAAACAAGATGTGGGATACAATCCAGTATTTCTTACTTTATTCCAGTCTTGTCTGTTTTCTTTTTAAAGTATTGAACTTAACTTCTTAAATTGCCTTCATGGCCATTATCATGGGTTATGATCTACTGAGCACACTGCAGGTGGCATATGGTATGTATCTGAGAATGTTATTGTGTGTTATCTATTTTTCCACCTTTTTCATCATAGGAGCCTTGAGGTAAACTATACATGTAATACAGGGAAAAGTAACTGGACTTGACCACAGTAGGTTTCCTTTCTTCTTCCTTTTGCCAGGTGGCAAACGTGGAACTAGTAGGCCAGATGGCTGGCATCAAACACAGTTATGCTCCCTGTGCCATCCAAGCAGAGCAGAGCCTGTATCAGTACTTCCTGTTGCCTCAGCTCTCATGCCTGTGGCCTATCAATGGAGCTCTTTCATTGAGATCTCTATTCCTTCTTACCTGGAGAAGAAGGGAGGTCAGATAGTCAGAGAAGGGTGTGACTCAGAATTCCAGACTGCCTCTAAAAAGGCCAGTTGTTTTGTCTGCTGGAAAGCAGGGGGTGGAATCTCAGGTTCAGAGGAGGAGACAGGCATCCCTGTGTGAAAGGGAGGCCAGGGCAGGGAG